TTTTTCCGGCTTTTTAACCGTTTCCCCCCCCCCCGTAGGCAGAGGGATGGCGGAGGACACCGACCTCCTGCCGACGGGCCCTTTCTTGGCGAGAGCTTGGATTTCGCTTTTATTTTATTTTTTTTTAAATAATTTATTTTGCAATCCGGGATCCTGCCTGGCTTTGCATCGCTTCTTTGAAAGAAACTTCTCTGCTGGGCGTGCTTCCCTCCAAGATCGCTAGAGGCTGGAAGGGGCTTTTTTTTTTTTTTTGCGGAGCAGACGTGCGGTTGTAGGACGGGGCGTTCAGTTCAGAACCGGGCAAAGTTTCCCAGTGCCTTTCCTGCAGGGGGGGGTGTTTTCCCAGCGGTGTGTGGCTGCAGGCCCTGGGCAGGGAGTAGTAGAGAGCAGAGCTTTTATCGAGCGGCTCCTTATCGGTTTGATAGTGGGTGTCTGTGCCAGGGCCCCACCCGCTCCGCCCGGGCGCTGGGGACGGCGGCGGGAGCTCGGGAAGGGCCTTGATGCCCTTTTCCTCAAGTGTTTGCGTGACTCTCTGCAGAGACCGGCCCTGTTTGTGTTGGACAACCCGCTTTTCTGTGGGGTGACGGAGCCGAGTGGTGTGAAAACGCCTTGATGCTTCCAAGAAGTCCCCTATGGCAGCAGGTCTGGCTCCAGCGCAGGACCAGCCCCGCTGTGTGTGGCACAGGTTGTGTTGTTACATCCAGACTGGGACTTTGGCACCATTCTTTTTAAATTTGAGACTCTTTTAAGTGCCCTGTGAAAAGAGCATCTTGCTTCTGGGCAGCTTGCTCGCTGAGGGGAGATGAGGAACTTTTTCATAGAAGCAATAAATGACCAGGGGCCATCCCAGAGCCATCACAGGGGGGATGCTGAGCTTGTTCTTGCTGAGCTAACCCAGGCTGAGCTGCTGTTGTGTGGCTCAGTGCCCTGTGCTTGGGTCCGTGGGGGAGCTGAGGAGCACACTCTTGTTTCGGTAGTCTGGGGTCAGTGTGGTGCTGCTGACTTCTCAGGACAGTGTCTCACTAAAGTCAGTGTCTGCTTCAAGTTGCTGCCATGATAGAGCCCAGCCAGCTGCATGCTGCTCAATTTTAGCAAGTTATAATCCAAGAAACACAGCACTGCCATAATTCAGAAGGAAAAAAAACCAACTCAGTGACCAGTGCACAAAGTTGATGGAGGACCTTGGTCAGCCTTTTGCATGGTCTTGACTTTTGCAAGGGCAGCACGAGCCAGTTAGATGACCTGATTCAGCAAAGCACTCTGAAGGACTTGCTTAGCTTTAAGTGCATGACTGCTGATGTGCTGCTGCTTGAAGCTGAACGTGTGCTTGGGAACTTGGCTGAACCAAGGTCAGGGCGAGCGGGATCACGAGAGGCCTCTGCTGTGGAGCCTGTGTTGGGATGGATCAGAGTAACTTCAGTAGCTGAAGCCAGCCTGGCCCCTGGTGTCAGGCTTCATAAGCTGAGAGAGGAGTGTCTCATCATCCAGCACCCTTTTTCAGTCCTTATAATGTGTTCAGGGAGCTCGACGTGTGTTTGAGGCATGGTTGGAGGGTTGTCTTCCAACACAGATGATGGAAGTGTCATTCTTTGGCAGCAGGGTGCCATTTTGTGTGCTGTGAGTTACGGGTGTCCAGGCAGCGTAACGGGGTTTGCAGGAGAACTGCAGCACTTCCAGTGGTAAAGCCTGCTCTGAAAGGCCAGGGTGGAGCCCCCATTTTTTCAGAGGTTTGGAAAACTCTTTTTCTTGAGTTGCTTCCAAGTGGGTTTTCTTCCGTTGAGTGTTTATAAGGTTGGAACAGTTCCTACCCTGAAAGAGAAAGCACGAGGGTTTTGTTGAAGAACCCCACACAGCACTAACATTAAGTTTTGTTTTTCCAGAGTCTCCACCACCTCCCTACTCTCGGCTGTCTCCTAATGATGAGCAAAAGCCACTGGGTACGTGTTTTCTCTCTTTTGATCTCCTGGCAGCTCTTTCATGGTGCAGTCCTGGTACTGGTTTGAAGACATCCCTACATAGCACGTCAGGCAGAAGCCAACACGTCGGGATTTTATGGCTGCTCGTTATTTCTGAGCAAGCATCAGCTGACAGGTTTTAAGAAGTAAATGGATGGCAGTTTATCATACCAAATTATGGTGTAGGCACATGCATATTTTCCAAAATAATACGGAGCTCTATTTTAAATGAAGGCGTAATGAAAGGTTCCCTGACGCCGTGCCCTGTCTGCGTGTGTAATCTGCGGGGTGACAGAGCACGGGGGGAATGGGAGCTCCTGGGTGCCATTTCCATCACGCCCTGGCTGCTCAGCACTGCAGAGGAACCTGCTATTACCCTTCCTCTCTTCATTAAAATGAAGTGTAAACTGTTTGAAACCCAGTGCTCTGTCATTTCTGAAGGGCTTTTCACTTCTGATGAATTACAAAAGCTTTTTTTTAAAATAAACAACCTAATGAAAGTGCCTTGGGTGGGAGGGTGGAGATGTTCTGAATTGGCATCGCCACATCCTGACCATCCTTTCTCTGAGCCCACTTCTTGGTCAAGCAAACGGGAAGCAAAGATGCAGGAGGGAAGGGAGGAATTCCACGTCCCTCTTGGGATCCTTGCTGGGATCGGTGGCTGTGTCAGGAGTGTGGGATTTCTCTCTTCATCCTGTGGTCGGTGGCTCTGATTTATGGAGGGGAATGGCCCAGGCGAGCTGCAGGGACAGGGAGGAGACAGGAGGCAGGGTTTGCCAGGACATAGGAGCAGGACAGCTTGCCTGCCTGTCCCACCCTGCCCCAAGGGAGGGCGGGAGCTGCCCGTGCCAAAGGTGAGTCCCTGCTCTGCCAGACCTGGCAGCTGCCTGCAACCAACGCTCCTGCACCCACTGCCTGTCAGAGGGACCAGCTCCTTCATTCCTGCAGCCACGCTGCAACAAAGCACAGTGACCAGAGCATCTTGCAAAGTAAAATTTGCAGGTCATGGCTTTTCCCCCAGTGTTTGTTTTCTGTTAGGTACGGAGAAAAAATGGAGTTGTCCCTCCTCATGCTCCCACTTCCAACTTAATTCCCTTTAGAAACTGCTTGTGCTGCAGGGAGAGATGATAGTGAGTGACACGTGACTATTAAAACAACAGCCAGGGATTGAAATTTGCTTCAGTGGCTTGTTTGATTGGTAAAATAATAGTTAATCTGTGAGCAAACAGTTGAGCACTTAATTAGAGGGGTGTAAGCAAGAGAGAATAACAAAGACTCTTAACTTGTTAAAACAAGGTTTCCTTCGCTTCAGCAAAGAGGAAGGAAGGAAGGAAGCAAGAATAAACAGCTTCAAGAATTTTAATGGTGATAATTAAGTATAGTAACTATGAATTGTTTAGAGGCTTAATGTAACTTTATCCAGTAAGCACCAAGTTCCTACTTGTTTGATCAACTTAACTGCAGTTATTTTTGTGGTCGAAGCAATTCAGACTTTGCATTTGCATGGTAGAAGTACAAAGTTAATCGCTGCTTTCTGGCCCAGTGGAGAGTTTCTCTTGGGGAGAGGTGGGCTGGTAACAGGAAGCTCAAGTGTTCATGTAGTACTTGTGAAGACAGGAGGACAAAAAAATGCTTATTTTTTTTTTTCTTTTTTTTCTTTTTCCCCAGATCTATCAGATTCCACGTTGTCTTACACTGAAACAGAGGCTACAAACTCGCCCAACGTCACACCTGGAGACTTCTCAGGTTGGCAGATGTTTGCGCCTTCCCACACGTGCTGGGGAGCTGGTGGCTGGGGCAGGGATGCAGGAGGACCCAGGGGGGTCATGGTTCTCTTGTTCATTTACATCCTTGGTGTGAAAAGAAGGAAAAAAACAGCAGCAATTTGAGTTGATTGTTCAGAGGCGTCTGTGCTCCATGGGTTGTGGTAAGATGCTGTGTGTGGGACGAGTGTGCTGGGACAAGTGGTGTGGCTGCAGGGCCATGCACATCCCCCACGGAAGCCACCAGGACCTCTCCTGAGCCCTGGGGTCTTGGACTGGCATAAGGCTGGGCTGTACCCAGTCACCATTCTGGTGGTGGGAGCCATGAGGCCATTTCAAACTTTGTGGTGGTTCTTGCCGGATCTGCCTGGCTGGTGTTACCTCTTGGGTCCTGGCCCTGTGGTGCAAACCCTGCCTTTGGGAGCAGGGCTCCCAGCTCCCATCCCACTGAAGCACCCCAACAAAGCTTTTGCATAATTAGGTCCTGGTTTTTGCTCTGCCCCACCCCTGCAACCTTTCATTCATTTAATGGTGCTCTGTAAGGCCTGGGGTGCTTTTACCTGCAGGCAGGCAGAGAGTTGAGGCTTTCATTTGATGGTCTTGGGTTTTGGCTGCTGTGATTGTTTCGTATCTTAGAACTTGGGTGTCCAGTCCTGGGCTGGCTGTATGGAGGGCAGGAAGGACCAGTCTGTAGGACCAGGTTTAATTTCTCCAGAATAAATGATCTGGTTAATGGTCTGAGGACTGATGAACATGGACCAGTCCTCATCCTGGTGAGGTCCCGTGTGCCTCCTTCAGCAGTTGGGATGGGCTTTGCAGTGGGGTAGGATTTGGGCACCTTGGTGCTGAGTTGCCAGATTGCTTGAGTGCATGGATAGGGTTTGTTGCTCCCTCTGGGAGATGCTCTCAGTCAGTGGTGGAGGGAACCCTCAGGTCCATGAGCCACAGCTTTTTATTCTCATTCTCTGCTCGCAAAAGCTTGTGACTGGTTTGGTGAGACCTATGACTTCCTTGGGATGTTTAAGCTGATCCTGACTCTGTGGCACTTTGAAGAGCATTTAGACAGCACGGCACCGTGGTGTCATGGTGTGGTGGCGCGTTCCCCTCTGGGGATTTTCCCTTCTCCTTTCAGGTTCTCCTGCCGCGGTCGCCGTTGCCGCGTGCCGGCCTGCCTGGCTTCTGTTGTGCTGCCAAGTGTCCGTGGCAGGGGAACAATTGGTAGCCAGGAGTTGGATCGTTTGGGGTTATGCTGTAATAAATATCTGCTTGCAGTTCCTAACGAACATTCCTCAGGCTGGATGCACGTCCGTAAAGCTCCCCATGCCCATGGCTTTTATTGTAACTTGGTAATTGCCATTAATTATATCAGCTGAGTTGAAAAACTGGGGTTCCTGAGGATGTAATGGTTCAGCTTGTCTCGCAGCTGAGCTCTTTATGGGACATCTGGTGGATTTTCTGGAATAGAAGAGAGATTTTAGCTTTTACTTAACAATATAATGATAACATGTGACTGAGATTGTACTGAAATTGGATACCTCCTCTCCCCCTGTATAGTTTCCAATGGTGTAACTTTTAATAAGAGTCTGGGGCTGGGTGATTTATTTTTCCCCAGTGCTCATGATTGCTGAAAGAGGATAAGAGCTTTGCTGAAGTTAACCCATACTTGTCATCACAGGGAAGTAAAAGGAAAAAAAAAACACTTAGACTCAAGTCAATCTGCCATATTTCAGTTTGTTTATTGTCCATTTCAGCTTATTTAATAGGTCTGCTTGAAGTGTAGGTCTGTGTAAAGGGTACACAAAGCACATGGTCTTCCCTGCCTTTTCTCGTCTGTACTGAAGGAGCTCAATGTGCATTTAACTCCTGTTCCAAAAATAAGTACATTTTGGATCTAGCATCAAGCCACTACTATTTATTGCTTCAACTTTGATCATCAAAAAGGCTTTTGCTACTAAAACCACAAAACTCAATTTTGGATAACAAAGAGAACCATTCTTTCCCTGTTACTTGTTTACTTGATGAACTTCTAAACAGAAAGTTTTAGATTGAAGTTGAAGATCATCTCTGTCATAGGTATCAATTAAAAAAAAAATAACCCAACGTTTTTTTGAAGTCAACCTTTTCATAGCTGGAATACTGGTCTTAAAAATAGGAAGAAGTCTTGAATAAACTAGCAAGCTTACTATGAAATCTGGAATAACAGTCCATGTGAACTGGAAGCACAAGTTTTGAGTAGTAGTGCTTATGTGACCTTCTGTGTTGTGAGCCAGATTGATGGATGATACCCTAGAGTCCTCTTCATCTGAGGATCGAAGTGTTTGGGTCATTAAATGAAGCTGTTTGTCCAGGAATTGGTGTCCAGTCACAGCAGTTCCCTAGAGAGCAGGTTTTAGGAGCACATGTAGTTGGGTTGGGGATGCTCCTGATTTCTCAGTGAGGTGCAGTGGCTTGGGAAGATCTGGTTTGATGGGAAAAGGTACCTGGAGGTGTTTGATCCTGATGGTTCCATCTTTTGAGCTCATGCAGTGTCACATTCAGGCTTGTGGGGTTACAAAAGAGGGGCTTAATCTTTTCCTTATTCGCTTTTTTTCTGGACCCATCTATGCCTGGGAAGCAGAGGTGACAAAAACCAGCTGCTCTGGAAGTTGTATTCCAAGCCCAGGTGGCTCCTCTGGCCAGGGTTGTGCCAGTCCCCTGGGTTCTGGCAGAGCCTTGGCTGGTGTCGGCGTCCCCACGGCTCCCCAGGCTGGAGCCGGGAAAATACCAGGGAAAGGGCAGAATCCATCAAGGCAGAAACAAAAGCTCAGCCCCATGACTCATAATTGGTGGAACATTTGTAGTAATTTTTTTTTTTTTTTTTCCCCTCAGACTTGGCTCCTCCACCACATGCCAAGAAGCTGCTGTACCCGTTAAACTTGCCAGGCTTGTAAAGGGCCGCGCTGCTGCTGTGGGAACTGGTTCTGTACAGTGGGGACGTGCTGGAGCAGATGGGGTGGGCCACGGCATTCTGTCTTCCCCTAAATCCCACAGGGCTTCCTTGGGGAAGACTCTCTTAAAGATCATGAAATAGCCCTGCTCCTTGGTGTGCCCCTTGCACTGTGCACTTCATCTGTCTTGTCTTTCTGGCTAAGAAAAGCCCATGAATTCTTGCAAGTCACAGCCAGAGTTTTTGCTAGTGATGGCTGTAGACTGTGGAGGTTCTGAGGAGGGGAAGAGTTGAATACAGCTAGGAGGAGAGAAGGTGTTGCTGCTTGGAAGGTCTCCACAGTGATTTAACCACTGCTGTTGTCTATCCTTTAGAGAGTGTAGAGATGTTGGTGCATCGCTTTTCTTTGGAGCAATAATAAATGAGGATGAGTAATTAACTGTAGGAGCGTACAGGTAGGGATGGGTGCAGCTCACTGCTACCTCACAGCAAAGTCCCCAGCCACCATGCAGAGATCCCACACTGCTGGGTGTCTCCATGGAAGATACTGAAGACAGTACCAGCAGCAGTCAGTGCTGAGCTCTCACAGTACCTGGTTTTCCTCAAAGTGAGCGACTCAGCACCAGAGCCTGTCTCGTGTGCCCCTCGATGTCTGCCCTTTATTCCTCACTTGACTGGGAGTCATCCCAGTGTTTGTGTGGAAAGGTTCATGGTGGGATGGAAGTGTCTTTGTGATCCCATGTTGCCCACAAGGCTGGAGCCAAGTTTTCTAGAGGGAAAAGGCTCCTTCCTAAGGGCGGGTGTCCAGCTTGGAGCTGGGCATGGCACCTTGGCAGTGGAGAAAAAAGTGCTACCAGGGTAGAAATGAGAGCTGGGAACAGGAGAAGGGGAGAAGAGTGGGGTTTGCACCAGCAGCAAGAGGACTTGCAGGAAGCCAGGGAAGCTGCTGCTTTTGAGTTATCAGCAAGTAACTCTTAACAGTCTGTTTTCTGTTAGACTTTGAAATCAATTCACTTCCCATGTGCTCAAAGTCTTCAAGAGTTTCAGCTTTGAGGAGCCCATTTGTAGCTGGGAACATGCAGCCAAAAGAAATTGTGAGTTGGTGGTTTGCTGGAGAGATGATTGATTAATTTATCTCCCCACTCCAGACAGGTGGGCAGCCTTCCCCAGAAGTGGAAGCACATGCCTGAGTCTGCTCCAAACAGCTTTCCCAAAGCCTAGAAGATGACAGGCGTCATGTAGAGATGGGGTCTGCTCAGTGACTTACTTTGTTATCCCCTCCGAAGTTGATGAAGGATAATTGTAGATTTGACAGAGAGAGGAAACCAAATGGACTGGAGCTGATTTAAATTATTTTAGATTTTTTCAAGGCTTGGGAATGTGGAGAAGCTGTTTGTGGGGTGGTGGTGGGACCGGGGGTGTTGAATTTGGGGAGCAGGGTCCCTATACCCCCAAAGGAAGGAAGGCAGGAACGTGCCCATCCATCCCAGTTGGTGACTCAGCTCCCTGAAGTGATGCCACGGCGCCAGAGCCAGAGGGTTTTTTTCTGTTTCCAGCAATATTTAGGATGAACTCAAGGAAGCATATTTAAAATCTGCTGAATGGAGAAGGTGAATGTCTCTCTTCCTCTCCCCCCAGAAATAACAGACTGCAGGGATTTATGCTAACAAGGAAATTTATGAAGATCCTGTGTGTTAGGAGTAGGGAAAAAAAAAGCCTATAAATATGTAGGGCGGATATGTGTGGAAACTGGGCAAACATTGCCCTTTCCAGAGTGGGGGAGAGCTTGTGAAATGACCTGTTAGCAGGAAAAAAAAAAGATATTTTTCTCATTAATAAGGCAGCAATTTCTTCTGGGGGTGAAATGTTGCTTTTGCAACTTCTGATGGTTGCCTCTGGCTTTGGTGTGTCTCAATGCTGGGCTCCCACTGCGGTGCTGGCTCAGGTTGGCAGCACTTTGGACTGGGGGCGGCAGGATGGGTCTGACCCAGCAGGACCTCAGGCTGGGGGCTGCAGGAGGGGTCTGACCCAGCAGGACCTCGGGCTGGGGGCTGCAG